CCCCTGGCACCTGTGGTACTTGCAGCTCGGCTGCTCAGAGCCTTCAGCCCCTGGAGCCCTGGGAAGCCCTGAGAGAGTTAGCCTTCCTCCCATCAGGGGAGCCCAGCGGGTCTGCCCACCCGCCACAAACACCAGGCACACAGGGACCCCGTGTCCCTCACATTTAACCAGGAAGCATCAGGTCGCTGACAAAGAAGATCTCACGCCACCCAACAGGAGAGCACTGGGGTGCGGGACCTCCAGAGGGGCCACAGTCCTCTGAGGAGCAGGAGACAGGAAGCAGGAGGCAGGAAGGCACTGCCACCTCGCACCGTCGGGGCGAGTGCTCCCCAGGCAGCTGAGGCTGGGCTTCCCGGCCATGGGTGGGCAGAGAACGCTGAGGACGTGGCACAGTGGACAGAGGTGGTCCCCAGGCCCGGGGCAGCGCCCCGCCCACGCCTGGTTCTACGTCCTTGGGTGCTCAGGGGGAACAGTGTCACCCAGAGGGAGACCCCTGTGGGGACGCTTTGGCCCGGCTTAGCACAGCCCACGGGAGGGCATCACTCGATTCGGTGCTGCTGGCCTCCAGGTCCCCTTCTGGGTACAAGTGGGCCAGCCAGGGGAAGACAAGGTGCCAGCTGCTGGGCCCGGACATGTGTCAGGGCACATAATACGCCAACGAGGGGGTCATGTGGGATGGTGACACCCCACAGAGGTCGCGTATTTACACATGGAACTCCAGGTGGACGTTAAATTTAATAAATAGGCGGTCAAGGGATAAGTAGCACAGAGGGCGGGGTGTCTCCAGCCTCTGCGCTCAGGGCCAGGAGGGTGTGGCATTGCTGCTGCCGGGGAGAGGGCTTGGTCCTGTCACCACCTCCCCCCGCAGGGCCCAAATCAAGGCACTAAGGAAGGGGCCCAGGTACGCCAGGGGCACCATGGCCTGGTGGCCTCCCCCACAACACCTGGGGACCCAGGCGGGCGCAAGCCCGGCCTGTGACGATGATAGGAGGCCGGCTCAGGAACCAGAAGCCCCCTCCTCGCCCACCCCCCACCCTCAGCTGCTGCTGGACCCGAGGCTGATGATCAGCTCAAGCTTCTGGCGCAGCTTGTGCTTCCGACAGGAGGCGTCTCTGTCCAGAGCGGTGAGGAGCTGGAGAGAGGGGGCCCCTTAGCTGCGTGGGCTCAGAGGAGGGTCTGCGCCCTCCCCTGCGGAGCCCGGGGCCCCCATCCCACGTGGACTCTTCCCTCCAGCCCTGCCCGACTCAGCTCCTCTCCCCCGGGCGGCCCGTGCTTGGGCTCGTGGCTCCAATCTCCCACCTCTGAACAAACCCACCGTTAAGAGTTCACATCTGAGTGCGTCCTACAGCCTCACGGGACCACAGGCAGGGCCTCTGGAGCTGCCTGGATTACGGGGCTCTTAGCTAACCTGCTTTTACGAGCCGGGTCCGGGGGGAAGAAGCAGCCTGGGCATGGCCCGCCAGGGTCCATGAGGCTCTTTTCCCTCCTCTCTGCTCACCACAAGTCGTGAGCAGCTCCCCACCCCACCCCGCCCCTGCCAGGGCCCTCTGCCATGCTGTGCCACCTTGCAGCCAGCTGACTTTGGACTGAAATGTGAGCCCCAACAAGCCTCTCCTTCAAATTGTGGGTGTCGCGTGTCCGTATCAGGCCAGCGTGGAGGAAGTGACTAGGACGCCTTCCATCCTCCCGCGGAGCCTGCTCGCTTCACCTACTGAACTGTCCTGTCTGCTCCAGGCTGCCATCAGCCCCTCCAGAGTGGCCCAGACCCGCTGTGTGGGTGGCTCCCTCCCTGACCCCACCTGTTGCCCCCAATACCTCCCTTGTCCGGGTCTCTGTGTCCCCGGGGCCGGCCCTCGGCCCTGCAGGCACACATGCCTGGCCCTAGCAGCCGCCGTGGAGCTGGCTGCCCCGATGATCCCCATGCTCCTGGCTTACACGACTCCACCAGCACAGCTGGCTTCCCTGCCACCCTCTGCCGGCTCCTCTTGCCTCTCGCCACTCAGCAGCCCTGGCCTGGCACTCAGCGGGTTCTCCCTCAGCCCACGATCGCTCTCCTCGAGCACGGGGCTTTCAGTGCCACCTACCGGCTCGCCAAGGTGCACCTTGGCGGCAGTCCTTCCCTGGAGCGCCAGACTCCTAGCCCCTTCCCACTTCACTCCCATGTGCGTCCCTGGCACCCGTCCCGCCTCCCGCCCCGCAGGTCTCGGCACCTCCCCAGGCCCTCCTTCTGGCCGGGACTGCCTGGTGGTTCTGAAGGCCCCTGCTAACCGTGCCACCCCAAGAGGCCTCTTCACCCTCAGTCTTTCGCCTACAGGGCGAGGGCAACAGACCCCATCCTGCTAGCTGCTTGGGCACAAGCCCTGCAGTTACCCCTTGACCCTTCCCTCTTGTGGCCCGTGTCAACACGAATTCCAAGGTCCACACTTTTCTATCCCCTCACAACTGACACCTCAAACTACAGAACCCACAGGCCCTGCAAAGGGCTGGCCCTGCCCCCACCCCTCAGCCCATCCCCTGTGGTCCAGCCAGGCCGTAAACTGGGCTCCAACTTGGGACCCTCCTGTATCCCTCAAGTCCCAGGCTCTCTGTCCCCAGTGTCCCATCTGCCCCCTTGTGGCACTTCACTGCTCCAATCTACACAAGTGCTCCGTGCTGCATGCTCAGGGCCATACACGTAGGGGCAGGGTCCTGCAGGGTGCAGTACACACCTCCTGGCGGTACTTGGTGACATAGAAGTAGAGCTCACTGAGCGCACTTAGGACATTGAAGTCATTGGCATGCAGACGGGACTGCTCCACCAGGTAGGCGTCCATGTCCTGGTCACTGATGGATGCCATCTTCGCGATGTCTCGATAGTACCTGTTGGGACCCTGGTAGGTCAGTCGCACTAACATCACCTCAGCCAAGCCCGCTGCCCTCACTGCCCCGCCAACCTCCGGGGCTCTTCCTCTGGGGGCGCACCTCTCCACCCAGCTCTTGTAGTTGGGGATGTCCTTGGCATACAGCAGCTTGTTGGAGGGCGAGTCCTTGCCCAGGCGGTGCTCCGACGTGGAGCAGGAGTCCATGAAGGTCTGGGCCACCACGGACAGGCAGGCATCCGTGATGCTGCTCTTGTGGATGTCGAACACGAACTGCGGGTTCTTGATCACGTTCACCCAGAAACGCAGGGGCAGGCTGCAGAGAGAGAGGGACAGGTGGCGAGGCTCCCAGGGGGCTCTTCTGCTGCCACTCCCCACAGCTCACAGGTGTGGGGTGGTCCACTTCTCAGCCTGTGCCAGCACTGGGACGGCTTAGGGTAGCCAGCTGGTCTCGGCTTGCTGCGAGCCTTCAGGCAGGGCAGCCCAAGGCTAAATGGCACTTCTGAACTCAAGAGGAGCCAATCCCCTCTGTCCCCACTGTCACCACCTGCGCCAAAACCCTCTGCGCAGCCCTGATGCCTCCAGCCTCACGGCTAGCACCGGGCTGGCCCCCGCCAATCACCAGCCCCTCCTGCCCGCCCACCCCCGCAGGGCTGGCAGCATCAGCACAGCCGGTACCAGTTGCTCTTCCAGGTGTGGCGCACATCAGGGTCACTGATCTGCCGCTGGTCAGCCTGCTCGTCCAGGAAGTCGAACATGTATTTGATAGCGAGGGGCAGTGCCGAGCCCCGGTGGGCTGTGCTGAACACGGTCTCAAAGAGGTCATCTACAAACTTCTGCAGCGTGCCCTGTGGGGGACAGCACGGCCGGCGTGCTGGGGGATCCAGGCCAGGATGCTCCCGAAGGCCTCCAGTCAGGAACAGAGAGGCTCTCCAGAGATAAGGGCATCAGGAGAATCCCGGTATGGCCAGGGCCTCTAAGAAAGGCCCCGTCTGCACCTCGGGCCTGGAGCCCCTGACCCAAAGGCCCCAGAAAAAAGTGACCCCTCGCTGGGCAGGTCAAGCCAGACCCAGAGCCAAGGTTGGGCTCAGAGGTGTCTGGCAGTGGCCAGGGAGGCACGGGGCAGGCCCCCACCTTGGTGGCCAGCAGGCGCGTTAGGTAGATCTCTGAAACCATCTTGCTTCCACGGTCCCCCTCCCGGTGGTCGGCATGGTCGTGGTTCTTCACCAGATGCCACAGCTTGGTGCCCGTCTCCTGGTCGGGCGTGATCATTGGTGCCCGTGAGCGGAGGCTGTCGGGGCTGCTGGTGGTGCGGAGCAAGCTCTCTGGGCAGAAGACACGTGTGACCCTTGGGCTGCTGGGGCCACTGGTTGTCACCTGGCCTCTTGCCCCACCAAAGAGTGCCAGAGAGTCCCTGGGGCTGAGGACACTTACCATAACGGCTGAGGGAGCGAGTGAAGGTGAAGGAGTTGGCCATGTTGTAGGCGGACACTTGTTTGGGCACCAGGGCTACTAAGGAACCATCTGTCACCTGAGGGTCACACACACAGACAAGAAGCAGTGCAGGAAGGAAGCCTGGGGGCCACCACTGGATTGGACCCTTCAGTGTGCATGGACAGGAGGGGGTCCGGGGTGAACAGCTCCCAGCCCCTCACCTGGTAGTGGGCCAGGGAGTTGACCCTCTTCCAGTCACACTCAATCTTTGTGGTGACATCCTCATCCTGGAGGATGATGCGAGCCATGCGGCCCTGGCGCCACTCTGTGGACAGAGGCAGCCCTCAGAGCTAGGCCTGCACTTCTCAGGGAGGAGAGGGTACAGCGGGGACAGGTGCTCACCCAGGTCCATGTCCTCGGCTTTGGGGCGCTGCGAGTAGGGGATGCCCTTGTACACAGCATCCAGCAGCTTGTCTTTGGCTTGGGTAACACTGTCACAGTTGAGCACCTTCACCGGGACCTGGCTGCCACCCTCGCTCTCGGGGCACATGCAGTGCAGCGTCTGCAGGGCCAGGTAGCAGTGAGCGGGCCAGGCCTCTGCTTCCCACCCAGCCCATCGCCTGCCGGCTCACCAGCGTCCTGTAGTCGATCTGCTGCCGGATGAGCTTGTCCTCGCTCAGGGAGTAGCGGGCCTCGCCTGTGATGGCGTCGATGGGGCCCTTCTCCATCTGCTGCTTGATGGCGCAGTACAGCAGGAAGAGAGGCTCCCCCGCGCACTCCTGCGGCGGTCGGCACAGCTCGCTGCCTGCCCAGTGGCAGCTGCCCCGGGCACGCCCACCCTGCCGCCCAGCCCCCAGCGCACCTTCAGGAACTTGTGCAGCAGGAGTGTGAACCAGTTGGTAAGCATCTTCTCCGCCACCGACTCAGTCCTGGGGCAGGAGAAGGTCTCAGGTGGGGCTGGGGGAGGTGGGGGGGGTTGCGGGGAAGGGCAGGGCCGGAGGGGTTCCTGCACCTGCGCAACAACAGCTTTGGATGATTCTTGCTCTCCAGGTTCTTCTCTATGAGGTCAGCCAGCAGCTGCTTGAGCAGCCCGGTGGCATAGTCGAGCCGGCTCTGCAGCGCCACCATGGTAAGCGAGGCCACAGTGCCACGGTCACGCATGGAGAAGCTGCTCTGGGCCTCCAGCGTGTGGATGAAGGTAAGCACAAAGGCCCGGCTGTGCAGCAGCTGCCCAAAGAGGCGCAGGGCCTTCTCCACGCTGGGCGGAGTCTGGGGGGACAGGGAGTCTAAGAGTGGGCTGGGGCCAGCCTGGGCAGGAGTAGGCAGGGGCAGGATGGGCATGCGCTCACATCTAACTCCTTGAGCACCGGGTGGGCCTCGATGCCGGGGAAGAGCACACGCACGGCATAGGTGCGATAGTCCAGGAAGGGGATCTGCACACCATCCATGTGACTCGTCAGCTCGTGGATGTCCGTCTGCAGCTCCGCAAAGGCTGGGCGAGGGCAGCGGGCAGGGAGTGAGCCGAGCGGGCGGGGGCCCAGCTCCCCCCACAGGCCACCCCCACCTCAGCACCTTCCTTGCACTCCAGCGCCACGCGGGACTCCAGGTTGTCCATCTGCAGCTGCAGCCGCTTCAGCGTGCGGTCTGCGTCCTGTGTCTTGCGCTTGTAGGCGAGCAGCACAGCAGCGATGGCTAGCAGCAGGAGCCCACCGCCAACCGCCAGCCCCACCAGGGCTGGCAGGGTGAGCGCCCGCTCAGCTGTGATGTGCAGGGTGCCCAGCCAGAACTCCAGGCCACCCACCAGCACCTGTGGGGACAGAACACGGTGAGCCAGCACCCATGAGCACCAGGCTCCCAGTGACCCCACACACGCACCATAACAGGCTGGCGACCCGTCTGGCGGGGCGAGTCACACAGCAGCTGTGTGTCAGACACCGTAAGTGCACACGGCTGGCCCCCGATCAGTACTGTGTAGTTGAGGCGGGAGCTGCCAGCCACCGCAGGGATCAGATTCTTGCCCTGAAGATGGAGGGATGGAGGACACAGTTGACCAGAGGCCTCTGGCTCTTTGCTCCTCCCGCCCCGCCCCTCCCTGGTGGCACCTTCAGCACAACATGGGATCCAGGCTTGACATCCAGGACCCCAGAGGGCCCGAGAGGTTCAAAGCTGGGGTCAGGGTAGTACGTGAAGGAGGAGCGGTTGAGGGAGCGGGCCGTCTGCACATGGTCCAGCAGGAAGCCGAACTCATCCGGATGCTCGCCCTGTGCCCGAGGCTGGGGCCGCCCGAGGAAGATGCCGGGGGCCTTACACAGCATGGCAGTGTCGTTGATCACCTGGCACGTCTGTGGGGGCAGAGGTGGGCAGCCCAGCACATGAAGGCGAGGGCAGCGGGGCAGGGCGAGGGCAGCGGGGCAGGGCGAGGGCAGCAGGTACTCACGTTGGTGGTCTCGATGCCACGGTACTTGGCCCGGACCCGGGGCTCCTGGATCGTCAGTAGGTGGGTCCCGCTCACAGTGATGGCAGTGCTTCCGCTGGGGACAGGGGTAAGGAACTCAAGCTTAGAGGAGGCATCACTCAGTGTCCGAGGCAGGGGTCACACCCCAGCCCCTGACCCATTCCTGTGCGCAGCGTCTCACTTGATGATACTCCAGGTGGGCTCGAGGTGCGTGACGGTGGGGTCCTGAGTGTAGGTGTAGATGACCCCAGGGCTGGAGATGTTGGCATGGTCAATGGCGAGGGTGATGGGGGCCTGGCTGGGGCCCAGGGCGGAGACGGGCGAGATACACACGATCGCCTCAGCATCTCTCCTGTGTGGGCAACAGAGCACTTGGCACAGGCAGCCCGGTGACCCTGACCCTCAGCCCCAGCCCTAGTCCCCGCCACTGTCCAGCCCACCTGACAAACTGACATTCGCCATTTCTCACAGTCACTGTCACACTGCTGCCAGCATCCAGAGAGCGGCCAGAAATGGTGAGCCGTGTGCCCCCTGAGGCCGGGCCCCGAGTGGGACTCACTCGGTCAAAGGTTGGGGTCTGAGGAAAAAGCAGCCCTGAGGTTGAGGCAGCGGCTAGGCAGGGCCACCCCACACACCCTCCAGTGGGCTGGGGGCCGGAGCAGGGAGAGGTCACACCACGCACCACGAAGCTGTACAACTGCTCAGACTGCGTGCGGAAGTCAGCAGAACAGTCGCCAACACAGAGCTCGGCAGGCCCTGGCGGCGGGCTGGGCACCAGCGACTCCTCCATCTCACAGACAATCCTACGGGTCAGAGGAGGTCAGGGCCCACCGCGGTGCTGGGACGGGAGGGGACGCCCACAAGGCTGCACTCACCTCTCGGCGCTGACATACTCGGTGGGGATGGAGTTGCAGCGCACACCGGCCACCCGCAGGCTGACCTCCCGCGAGGCGAGGCCCAGGTTCTCACCCACGACGGTGACCCGGGTGCCCCCCTCCTTGGGTCCCATGAGTGGGTGGATCTGCGGAGCGGTGGAGGTGAGAGCTCTGACCCAGATTCCCAGTCCCTGGGGGCAGGGGGGGCGGGGCTGACCTGGCTGATGCGGGGGTGGCTGCACCGGGTGCCCTTCTGGCTTGGGTGCATCCAGTTGGTTCTGGGGGCTGGGCAGTGCGCCCGCAGCTGGCACCTGTGCTCCGAGACGCACCAGCCGCAATTGAAGCGAGGGTCGGCTTTGAGGCAGAGGCCACAGCTAGGCCGCTGTGCCCAGCACTTGTACAGAAGGGCTGTGGGCACACAGGGCACTGCTGATGGAGCAGGCTGGGCACAGAAGTAGGGTGTGCTCAGGCAGTGCCAACCCCACCCCATGGGCCCCTCACCTCGAAAGCTAGGAGGCTTGTCGATGGGGAAATCTCCATCCCAGACAACAGAGAAGTCCAGCTCGGTGTCACCGTACTCATCACCTTCGTAGGAGTACTGCGAGGATGGACCCGTGAAACCCCATGTGCAACGAAGTTCCCCGCGCAGACGTCCCCGCCAGGGCGACCTGAGGCGCACGAAGCTGGGCACTCACCGAGGCATTCTGGCACTGCACACTGCTGCTGTTGAAGCGCACGGCAGGCACCCGCTGCTGCCGCCCCTGCACCCGCACCACACACTCGTAGTTCTTCTGGCCCGACTGCGGCTGTGGCAGGTTCTTCGCTCGCAGGGTGAGGGGCTGCATGACCCCCACAGGGATCAGGAGGTCCCCCCGAGGAAGGAGCTCGGGGCAGCCCTGCGGGGAGAGCAGCATCAGTGGCAACCAGGCCCAGCGACTCAGTGCGGACGGAACTTGGTGGCACCCAGCACAGCCCTCGCGCAGCACGCCGCACCCGCCTCACCTCGGGGCTGTGGACCCTGCCCTCCTGGAAAGAGCACTCGTGGGGGTGGCTGGTACACACGTGGCGGTACTTACACCAGTGGCAGGGGTAAGAGCTACCCACACAAGACATGCACCTGGAGGGGAAGCAGCGTCAGACGACAGTGAAGAGCCTACTACTCCGAGCTGTCCTCCCCTGACACACACATGCCGGGAAACCACGGAAAAGGTGGCTGGAGCCTGCCTAAGGGGCTGGAGCTACACAGGGACAGGAAGCAGGCAGCCAGGCTGTCATCCTGCCAGGGGTAGGGACAGGCACCAGGCCGGGAACTCACGACTGAAGAACACTGCAGTTGTAGAAAACAAAGTCAGCACTGGCGAACTTCACACCGGTCTCCTTGGCAAGCAGCTGCAGCCGCACGGTGCGTGTGGCCCCTGCAGGAGCCCAGAGGTAGCGGTGACTGAGCCAGGGAGAGAGCCACTCGGCCCGTGCCCTGCGCCACCTCCCACAGCCCACCAACCGTGGCCTCTGGTGAGAGCCTGCAGTTCTTGGAGGGAGGGCGAAGGGCAGCGCAGCTCCCCCGATGCCAGTAGGACGGCCTCGCTCTCCATCCCCTCACCGAAGGCACAGCTCACTCCCGCACTGAGGTCTGGCACGTTGTGCACGGCTACCATCAGCTGGAAGAGGCAGGAGCTGAGCCCTGTGTGCCCCCCGTGACACAGCGTATGGCCCCAGCACCCTCCGTGCCACTCACCTGCACCCCAGGTGATGTCACCGACACGTTGTTGGGTCGGACCCGCACCTGGACACACTTACTCAGCTCTTCAGCAAAACCATGAGGGGCAGAGGCGCCTGGACAGGCCCCTTCCCGGCAGCACCTGCACAAGGACAGGTGGCAGGAACCAGGGCAATGGGGACAGACTGCCCAGGTGTCAGCGCCAGGCAACCGAGAAGTCAGCCTGGTCCCCTGGGACCTAAGGGATGTCACTCAGGGAAGAGACTCTGCTCATTAGCTGAAGACCCTGGAGGAGGGCACAGCAGGGGAGAAGCGGGAAAGGGCGGGGGCAGGCCTGCCAGCCCTCTGTGTCCCCAAGCACCGCACCTGTGCTGCAGCACGCACCAGCCGCAGTGCGGATCTCCCGAACCCAGGCAGGCCGCGCAGCTCAGGTACTGCTCGCAGGTCTCCACAGGGAGCTGGCTCACCTGGGGAGGGCCTGAGCCATGTCAGCACTCGGCCCACCCCTGCGCCCCCCTCCCTGCGCCCACCACCCCCGCACCCCACGGCCCACCTGCTTCTCACTCAGGAGGTAGATGTGGTGGTGGTCAGGGCTGAAGAGCAGGTCTCGCAGGATGGGGCTGCCATCTACCACAGGGACCGTTTCATAGAGGTAGGCATCCTGGGTGCCATCAACCCGCACCTGAGCCACAAGACGGGCAGAGAGATGACGGGCCTGCCTTTCCAGGCAGGCCAGAAGCAGCACCTTCCTTCAGAGCCAGAGGCCTTCTAGGTTGCAGCAGAGCTGAGGCCAGGGCCGGCTGGGGCCACCCTGATACGCACAGCCCAAGGCAGACAGAGACAGCCAGGTTTGAGGGCCAGAAAACACTGCAGAGCCTGGCAGTTCAGGGCCATGGCCCACCCCGATTTAAGAGTGCTGCTATCCAGCGAGGCAGACGTTTTGAAGGGGTGGCACCTGTGGAGTATGTGGCTTCTAGCTCAATAAAGTGGTTACAAATGGAACCTGGGTCCTAGGGGAAAGCAGCCTCAGTACCTCCCTTCCCAGGCCTCCCTGGACCCCCAGACCGGGCCTTCCCTTCCCTGGGGATGACACCGTATTGATCAGGAGAGCAGAGCAAGAACAGTGCCGTCACCCTGACCCCTGTCCCTCTGTGCCAAGCTACCCTCAGTCCCAGAACAGAAGCGGCTGTGGCCTGGCCTCGCCCCTAGTGTCTGTGATACGAAGAACGAGGGATGAGGGCAGGGATGTGAGTGCCTGCTCCAGGAAGGTGACACCCTGAGGAAGAGCAGGAGGAAAGGGAGCGAGCTGGAGATAAGCCCATCCTGGAGACAGGGAAACAGCACACACAGGCCCATGTGGGTGCTTGCTCCGGCCTTCACAGCACCGGGCAGTGGCAGTACAGCCTCGGCCCCTGCTCTCGTGGCAGTGAGGCCCCACGGCGGGCACTGGCGCCAAGGAGGGCCATGCTGAGACCCTCATCCCCGCATGCTAAGAACCCCAGCCTCACCTTCTTTAGACTGCCGCTGCGTGTGCCAATGAACACCACAGAGTGCTGGCGGTAGGTGTAGGCGGCCACGCTGGCCATGCCATCGGTGCTGTCGGCCAGCAGGGGCAGCCCCTCGATCACGTGCAGGCCACCCAGGGGCTGATTCAGGACCAGCCCGCAGAAGTTTCCATTGATCTGCATGGGCTGGTGAACAGGAAGGCTCTGTGAGGGTCCCTGTCAGACAGAGGCTGCTACGGCGGAGCGAGCCCAGACACTGCTCCCCCCAGCCAGGTCCGATGGGTACCCAGGGGACAGGGAGAAGGGAGGGGAGGGAGGAAGGAGCCTGGGACTGCAACACAGGGCAGACTGGGCTACTGTCGCCAACTTGAGGTGCCGCAAGGAGGAACAAGCAGGGAATGAATGGAGCGCGGGGAGAGAACACCTGGCAAAAGAGAGGCGGAGAAAGGAGCAGAGGGTAGGGGAGCCCAGCGGGGCAAGGCGGGTGGGTCAGGTGCCTGGCCTGGGCTCACAGTGTTGATGCAGGGTAGCTCCTTGTTCAGTAGCCAGGGCAAGGCCAGCGTGCCCTCCCCACGGTAACAGGACTGGATGCGGCGCCGGATGTGCGCGTTGATGTTGCTGAGCGTAAAGAGGCAGAGGATGGTCTGCCGAGGCGGGCTGGCCCGGTTCTTCTGGCCCTGGGAGAAGATGGTGAAGAGGACGTCCTCGTCGGCTGGCACGCCCAGTGCCTGGGCCAGCAGCAGGCCGGGCTTGGCCAGGTGAGCACTTTGCACCAAGCGGTACTCCACACCACGCCAGGAGCAGCCGATGGGGAACTCCACGTACGAGTAGAACTCCGAGTCCCCTGTACACATGCGCACAATCTTGGAGGTGAAGAACTTCTCGCCTGCCGTGTCCAGCAGCGTCTGCTGGGTATCCAGCTGCAGCGTCAGAAAGTACACAAAGGAGGCGCTCACAAAGCCATAGATGTAGTAGATGTCAAAGGCAGGGTAGAGGGACAGCGTGTCAGAGGGGATCTTGATCTGCGAGGACACGAACTCGTCCTGGTACACCTGGGAGGCAGGCGAAGACAGAAGCGGATGAAGGCTGAGGCTCACCATCCCACCCTCACCCTGGGCCTGCCCTGGCCACGCCTGGGACCTGGGCCAGGAAGGCAGCAGAGGAGAGTGACGGCCTCCCTCCACATAGGGACCCACAGGGGCTCAGTATGGTGTCTGCATGTCTGCAACAGTGAGAAGGAAGGAGGGCACGGGGCTGGGCACGCGGCAGGCCAGGGAGCAGACCACATGGACGGGCACAGTCACGCACCAGACTGAACATATCGGCACTATCCTCGTCGCCAATGAGCTTGCGCGAGCTCAAGGTAGGGAAGTACTCCGACTTGCCGTCCACAGCAGTGCCCACGAACAGCTTGCTGGGCCCCTGGCCCTGCTCCACAATGACCCCGGCCACGGAGTCCGGCTCCTGCGTCCCTGACAGGTAGTGCTCCTTCCGCTGGTGTGGCTCCCCCAGCTTGAAGAGGTCATCCAGGCGCAGGAACTGGCAAATACCCTGCCAGATGCTGCCACAGGCCACCAGGCGACGGGCCGCATAGTCTATGAGTAGTAACTTGTTCACGTTGTCCACGGGCAGCAGGCGGTGAGCACACACACGCATACTCGGGGGTGGGTAGCAACGGGCATTGTCCTCCACAGGCCCCGTTACATGGGCCCGAAGCTCGGTCAGGTTGGGGGCCAGCTTGAAGACTCGGTTCACTGCACCCACAAACACCTCCCCAGTCACTCGGTGCACAGCCAGGTGGGTGAGCGTGGTGTCTGTCACCACAAAGGCACGGAAGGACCTGCTGCCACCTGCACCCCCTGCCACTGGGAGAAGGAGCAGCGGGACAAGGCACAGAGGGAGCATGGCCAGCAGCCACTTTGGACAGGCCTGAGGAGAGAGGGCAAGTGGGGGTCAGGGGCCCTGGCAGCTGGGTTCTACGCCATGGGACAACGGTGCTCCCCCACCAGCATGCCAGAGCCCCAGATGGTGACCGCGGCTGGGCACACAAGCCAGGGACCATCAATCACCCCCGCCCCTGCACTGGAGAGCAGCCAGGAGGCTTCGCCTCAGCCGGGCCACACCCAAGGGGCAGCAGAGTTACATGTAGGAAGACACGCGGCAGGGCCTCCCAGAATGCAGCTCCCATTACTGCCGAGGGCAGCCAGCCCCAGGGGAGAGCAACCACAAGAAAGCCCCAGGCCACAGACCCCATGTGCACAGGCTGGGCAGAGGAGGGAGGGGGAGAACAATCACATTCTGGGGGCGGCTGTGCCATCCTAGAATGACACTGCCACCAGAAGTCTGGGAACAGAGCTCTGGAGAAGCACAGCCTGACTCCTGCACCACGCATCCATCACGCTCCTGGCCCCAGCTATCCCCTCCCTCCAGGGCCTCTGCTGGCTGTCCAGGACACACAAAGCAAGTCGCGCCTGCCCCCACACCACGCACCAAGACAGACATAAGTCAGGTTCTGCTTGGGCACAGATGGACAGGCGCCCGGCCACCCTGCAGATCCAGAAGTAGCAGTGCAGGGGACACAGAGCCCTGTGGATAGGACTCAATGCCCTCAGTGCAGCAAGCTTTGGGGAGACAGGCTGGGGGCCGCAGGGACAGTGCCAGGGCTGGCACTCAGCTCTCTGAAGCCACACCCATCCAGCTCCAGGCTGCAAAGGCAGCAGAGGGGGAAAATTCTACAGTACAGGAGGTAGCCCCCGTGGGCAGGGAGAGTGTGGGGCAGCAAAGCAAGGCGACAGAAGAGAAAAGAAAAGGCACTGGCTAGGTAGGGAGCAGGCCCAGCTCGAGAGGCTGCAAAGTTTCAGCCAGGACTGATCATCACTCTGGGGCTCTTTTGTCAGCTCTGCATCCTAGACCCTCACCCAACGGCCAGAGAAGAAAGGCAGGCACAGAACAGAGAAGCTGCACCCTGCCCTCGCCTCCTCTGCAGCCCGCGGGAAGAGGGCTCTGGGGAGGGGCTGGAGACAGGTCGGGAGGGTGACCTGCAGAGGCGGGGTTTGCAGCCCGGACCCCCAGCCCAGCCCCCATAAGTGAGGGGCAACCTCACACATCACAAGCACACCCAGCCCCTCCGCGACAGCCTTGCCAGCAGAGAAGGTGGTGATGGGGAACAGCCCCGCGAAGAGAGGCGGCCCCGCGCCCGCCTCGCAACGTCCCCCACCACGCAGGGGCCCAGCTTGCCCTGCCCCCACAGGGCACCCTCAGCCGGCCGCGGAGTCCTTCGTCGCTGGAGGTGCTCGCAGCCATCCTCCGAAGGGCTGCTCCTCCGCTACAAAGGGTCCTAGCGGGCGAGTGGGCTGGGCTCAAGGTGGCGGTCCCTACCGGCCCAGGGCACAAACGTCCTGGTAGGCAGGTGCCAGAAGGTAGGGCAGGGTCTGACCACCGAAAGACCGAGCTCGACCCCCAGGCTGCGCGAGCCCCGGGTCTCTGAGCCAGCTCCCCTCCCAGCCCGGGGGTGGGGGGGCGGGGATGGCGGCCACCT